TTTTAACATTATTCTTGGTAGAGTAGGACAATTCAGCCTGAATTCTAGAAAGTAAATTGAAATTTTTGTCAGGAGACCCTGTGTGAAGTAAAACACACCTCCTTCCCCATCCCCTCCCCTATACAATAAACAAAAGCCTTATGTAATTTAGACTGGGTATTTAAGTCCTCTGGCATTCTTCAAATTTCCCATTTGAAACAATTCAATCTCTTTGAGAGGTTATCTGGACTTAACAATATATGTGTTGAGACCGAGTTATTTGGATTGAAGCTGAATCTCCAGTTTTCAATTTCACAAGCATGAACTCATTGTAAATACTTCCTCTCTAAGGTAAAGGCAGTCAACATCCTGTCTTTGTTGCTGGGTGCACAGAGCTGCTAAATTTGTTAGCAGGCTGAGGTAGTTAGGGCTCAGCCCTCTACTCCACAGCACCTGGCCACGGTCAAGAAAAAAATCCTGAAAAATGAGTACTGCACAAGTCTTCCTTTCCATTACCAGGTGTCGGGTTATGTTTCTTTAACATCACAACACACACTTAAAAAAAAAAGATTTATTTATTTATGCATACAAGGTCAGGAGTACAGGGGTAAGAGGATTCACCAGACAGAGAGTGGGGAGCAGAATATTTGGATCTACTGAAATACATTGCTGAGGGGAGCAGTGGGCAGACAGGAGAGGTCTGCTGTGTCATGTGGGTCACCTCCCTGATGAGGAATCGAACGCTTGCTGCAGTGGCTACTGATAGCTTCATAGGGCTAAGACTTAACCCCTTGCACCAGGGAGGACCACAACATGCACTGTTGTCCATGGTCTTTAAGGTTTTTATTGTGATCAGCTATACCGGGGTTCTCATAAGCATTATAATCACAAGGAAATATAACTTATATATGCCATTCAATAGGTACAGATGAAACTTAGTGACTATTTCATAAATTTGTGGGCATTGATTCCTCAAACTGTACATTTATCATCACATTTTGACATTGGTTTTAATTATTCTTGATTAAATTACCCGTGGATGTTCCAAGTTGCACAGATATTAGAATATGATTGCCACAAAATGATTCCAGATAGCCTGTGCAACTACAAGGGAATTTTAAGAAACGTTGTAATTCAGATTGGAAAAAAAAGAATTAAAAAAATCAAAATTGTTGCTGAGAAGTTGATCTTTTTCGAGAAACTATGGATGAATCAAGGCTAGAGTCATGCCTGTGTATCACCTGTTGACTCAGTGTGCTAGAGTCCTCGAAGAAGAACTACTGACCTTCTTCACTGACTATGGCCTTTGTGGTAGTAGTCACAGGTTGCTGACAAATGATTGGGTTCCTAGACGCATCTGGAGGGAGTGGTCAACAGTCATGTGCAGTATGGTGATGTTCTAAGATATGAAAGAAAATGAAAAAAAAAAAGAAAAAGAAAAACTATGGATGAGATTTAAAATGTAAATCATGCATGTCTCTGTGTCACCTTCCCCCAAGATCTGTGCTACCTGTGATTATTAGACACTTTTAAAATTGTGATGTTTAGCTATAACTTGACTGAAATAAAATCTCTTAACAAATTAAAAAAATAAGCTAAAGTCCTTCTACTCTTTGTTCTGGAAGGTTATCACAAAAGATTCCCTAAATGAAAACAACACCAGCGGCCAGTGTGGCTGAGATATTTGGTGGCCACGCCTTTGCCTAGTGCTATGTCCATAACGCCAAATATTCAAACTCTGAAAATGTGCAGTCACTTGTGGTGCCTGATCAGATTGCCTTGCTTTGTTCAAATGTTTAAATAAAAAGTGTAAAGATACAAGTATAAATAAAATCTTTTAACATAAAGTATAATTTGTAGTTAAAGAATTATACTCAGGGCCCAGCCTGGTGATGCAACCAACCAGTTAAAGAGCAGCACTACGAAGCTGTCCACAGCAGCCACTGCAGCATGAGTTCGATCCCTGGCCAGGGAGTGACCCACATGGCACAGCAGACCTCTGCTGTCTTGCCTGATACTTCCCTTAGCAGTGTGTTTCAGTCTGCGTGTTCTGCTCCCCACTGTCTCTGGTGAATCCTCTCACTCCCTGCATCTCTGGCCTATTTCCCAGTTCTTATAAGCATATGTAGATAAATCTTTAAAAAAAAAGAAAAGAATTACCCTGGACAATACGGTGGCTGATGAACAGCTTTTCATGGTTTCCTACTTGGCTGTGGGCGAGATTGAAACTCACAGTCAGACATCCTCTCACCTGAGGCCAAGGCTTCGTCCGTGCTCACTGAGTCTTAAAATGGCTTAGGTGACTTTCCTCTTTGTATACTTCTCCATCTAAAATAAAGTGCTTCCACCTTGCTAGCCAACAATAATTGTAACAGGGGAGTCCCTGTCCCACCCAAGGAAGGGTAGAGCTGAATAGCAAAGAGAAACAAGAGAGATGGGGAGTAGGAAAAGGAAAGAGAACAGGACGGAGATCTGGAGGCACTTGGAACAGAGAGACATGTAAAAACACTGCATTGGCTTTCAGCTTTGAACTGGTACTGTTATAGGCTGATGCCAAGTCGTTAGAGGATGGGGAGAGAGGGACACCCCTGAAGCCCCAAACCTGCCTGCTCTAAGTGGGTTCTGCCATCCGCCGCAACAAGACAAAACATAAAACTTTAATGCAAAGGGACTTTAATACAGTGAGTATACAATATGGAACACAAAGAATATAATTTCTAAATCAAACACCTGAAGTTCCCCATCCCCTTGTGGGCAGAAGTCAACCCAAAAGGGGTTGGCCCAAAGCAAGGCCTGAAAGTTGCCACAAGCCTAAAGCACCTTCTGGCCGGGACCCATAGAAAAGGGTCAGAAATGGCCAGACAAGTCTGGGAGGAAAAGAGCAAAATCAAAATCACGATAAGCGCTGCCATAGTCACTTCCACACGAGCCTCTCACCCACATCTGCCTTAACCAGCCCAGGGTCAGGAAACAAGCACGGTTTCTTCATCACATGCTCGCTGCTCCATGTGGCTTCCTCAGGTCTCCTTCTTGTTCTCTATCCTGCTTCCTTCTCCTCTTCTCTTTTTTCTCTGCTCAGCTCCACCCTCCTGGGTGGGGCAGGGAACCTGGAACTTCCCCTTTTCCTAGGGACCACCCTGTTACAGTACCACGATGTGGGGGACATGGGAGGAGACACTGGAAATGTTACAGGGCACCCCAGTGTGAACTGGGCTGCCTGTCTGTGGGTCCTCATCCGTGCGCCTAAAATTTAGTTGTACTGCAGGTGTACACAAAAAGGGTCAATAATGGGTTTATTTACAAAAGGGGAAAGGAAAAGGAACATGCTTAGCTCCACCCTTGGGTCCTCACAGTTCTTTCCCTGGTACTGCTGGGAGTTGTAGTTTCCAATCACTGGAGTAGGGGGTAGAGACCGGAGAGCTGGAGTAGGGGGTGGAGTCCACAAGACTTGCAAAGTTCCTTTTGGACATCCTTCCCCTTAACAGAAACAGAAGTGGGTGAGAGACCCTTGGAGAGGCCAACGATGCAGCTTTATCTTGATTTTGATTTTGCTGTTTTCCTTCTAGACTCACCTGACCCCTTCTGCCCCTGCCCTTTCACGATGGATCTGCACCAGAAGGTGTCTTAGACTTGTGGCAAGATTTAAGGCCTCAGTGGTCCTGCTTTGGACCAACCCTGTATGCCTGGGCATTTACCCACAAGAGGATGAGTGACTGAGTGTTTCAAATACATGAAAAACAAACAAACAAAAAACAAAAAAGCCTCCTATCCTTTCCCTTCTCTTTAGTGCACACTAATTATTTTAAAGTTCTTTTCCATTGAAGGTCTTATGAACTACAATATGTTTTCTCTTGAATTGGCAGAACCCAGTTAGATTGTGCAGTTTTGGGGGTCCTGGGGTACCCCTCACCTCTCCCTACAACATAGTAACTGAATCAACTTAGTTGGTGTGTTTATCTCAATGTTCTGTGTCAGTGTGCTGGAAGATGGGACAGTGAAAGCACAGCAAAGTCTTATGTGCAGATTGCACTGAAGTCACCAGGTGTCCCTAGTCTATTGCATTTCTCAGCTCTGTCTCCAGGGCTCTCACACATTCCTGTTAAGTTTCTGACACACACATGCACGTGGCCTCTCTCACCACAATCCTTCCTTATCTCAGTGCACTTCTCCAAAGTGCAGCCATTGATGATCAGTAAAATAAATGAGTCAAAAATGACCACAGGAAAAAAACGAAGGTACAATTTAGTTTCAAAAGCCATCCATGGGCCCTCCCTGGTGGCGCAGCAGGGTAAAGCACAGCACTAAGAAGCTAGAGCCACTTCAACATGAGTTCAATCCCCGTCCCGGAGGTGACTCACATGGCGTGGTAGACTTCTCCTGACCCACCCTCTGCTTCCCTCAGCAGTGTACTTCACTGATCTGCCTGTTCTGCTCCCCACTCTGTTTCTGGTGAAGCCTCTCACCACCCCTGCACCTCTGGCTTGTACCCCAGTTCTGTATGCATAAATAAGTAAATCTTTTTTTTTTTAAAAAGAAGTCATCAGTAACCATTTTCTTACGTGGAAGTGCCCATAAAGTCTTCTTACAAAGAGCCCCCCTAAGCCTGGACTGAATGTAGTTTTAACTAGGTGCGGCCTCTTAGCTGTGCAAAATGGTCCTGATTACTTTGAGTAACTATAGTCATTCCATAAAAGTATTTACTGAAAGCTGGGCCGGACAGCAGTTGTACAATCTGACCTGGCAAATGTTCAGAAATTGCACTCCAGATTACACATTACAGCACTAATTATCCAAATGAAACTCCAGGGGCACCTTAGGTAGATGCAGTACAGTGAATTAAGGAAGGAAATAATTAGTCACAATTGCAGGAACTAGCTCAACATAAAGTAAGAGAATGCATGCAGCTACTTCCTGCAGACTACAGCAAGAAGGCTTAGCAACAGTTTGTGCAAAAACACAAGAACACACAGATGATAAGCATAATCTCTGCCCATGAATAAGAAAAGGACCAATCTCAATGATAAATTACAAAAATGACTTTATTTAAGTTATTTTGTTCCTATGTACTACATAACATTAAGACATTTTATCATGTGTTTGTACTATGACAAATAAAGTTCCAAGCATTTCTTGACAGTCTTACAGATTTTGCCCACATTTGATACAATCTGAACATATCAGTGAGAAAAAACCTACAGAAGGGAAACTGAAGGGGCACATAAGGCAGGAGGTTTCAACCCCAATAAAATATTAATTAAAGAGGCAGAATTAGGTGGGAGAAGATGTGGCACGCAGCAGAAAGCAAAGTTACACCACACTGAAAATCATGCATAGAAACTGTTATTTAACAAGACAAGAAATTAAGTTGTTCAAAGTTATATACTCCTTTTTGAGGTCTTCTGGTAAAAAATAATTCCTTGGGGTGAGAGGAGCTCATGTCCCCAAAATGAACTTAGGGATGTCACCTTTGCCAGGGCATAGCTCTAGAAAGAAGAGTGTAAGGGAATACCCACTTTGGAAGGCTGGTATGAACTTGTATTAGAAGCATGTCATTGAGGTCGAGATCTGCAAAAGGAGTGGCAGGTCTGGAGACTATTAAATTTTCTTACAATGTTCCTGCATGGACGAGAAAGGATGAGAAATCCTAGAGACCCTTCAGATGTTTGCCTGCCTGATAACTGTTTTGTTACTATTTTGTTTTGCTAATCTAAGGTGTGTATGGAACCCTACCTGAGTTATGGAGATCCTATCAAAAAAGGGAACTACTTGCATCACCTTCAGGATTAATCTGAGAATGCCAATTGAATCTTAATTCAGTATCTAAAAGCGAATTAAAATTACATTGCCAGTTATCTACTCACTGCTAAGTACTGCTGACAGTTTTTATAAAGATGGGACATAAGTGTTCAGTGTTTAAGTAAACGTATCGTTGTTACTGTTCAGTTATTTGGTATGAAATTGTATTTGAGAGCAAAATAAACTGCAAAATGAATGGGTTTTTCTTATTGTAGAATTAGGAAAATAAATAGCAAAACTCTTCTGGGGGAAATGATAAAAAGAGATAAAGACAAAGATTTTACTTTTCTTAATGCAGAAATTACATGCTAGAATATTTTAAGAACTTGTACTTTCCTCATCCCGTCATTCCAGGAAGATTCTAGGTTTGTTTAAGCCCCCTCTCTACAAAGATGGCAGGAGAGGCAGGGAAAGATTCACCTCTAAATGAATAAAACACTTGTAGTGGGCATATTTTCCAGACCTTTCTGCTGTACTGGCTGCCATATCAATTATTTGAACTTATGACCACAGGTGCATGGAAAGTATAATGGCAGGGCATTCAGTGGGTGAACAATAAGAATTTTGCAAGTGTAAGTACCAGCTTTCACTGGATCAAGACCCTTTATGTTAAAAGCAGTGTTATGTACAAAACAAAACAGAAACCCAACAAAGTTTCTGAAGTTGGTCTTCTTAGCAGAGTTCCATTGGGATGTATTTATATGCTCTGTGTCAATCAGACCCATCACACATTGACCTGTGCCACCATTACAACTAAACAACAAGCATTCCTGCTGTGGTGTCAAGCAGTCAGAGGAGTTATGAATACACATGGTGTTTTATATATTTACATAAGCATTTTCTCATGAATCCTGTAGAGGTTGGAGCAAGAGAGCTAGCTGCTCCTTTTTAGCAAGAGCACTTGTAACACCGAAAGGGATTCTGTAATATACCCCTTTTATACTGAGTGGATCAGATAAAGGACTTTAGAAAAGTTAGCAGTTCATTTACCTGAGTTTCCCATTTAAAGGCTAGTCATTGAATACTTTTCACTTAAGAAGTGAACAAAAAGCTATGAGATTAAAAAGGGCCAGAGTCAGAAAACTTAGACTCAAGATGAAGTTTGGGACTTTTGAATTTTTATAAAATTGAATAGAAATATCTATGAATTTTCCTCAGATAAAACATAAAGTCATAGAACTATACTGATGTGCTTACTGGATGTTACTTAGAACTGAAGTCAAGGGTCAGCCTGCAAAATCATTAGGAAGCAAGTCAAAATCTTTTGGAATTTTGAGCAAATTGTTACCAATGGTAAAATTCTGGTTATTTAGTGACTTATTTCATTTGTGACATGTGCAATTATGAGTTAACGTCAGATAAAGACTTTAGCGTAACTATGATTTTTCACCTGAATTGATCCCTTTTAAAGGGTGAGATAGAAAATAACTATAAATTTTATCCACAAAATAGTGCACCCAGTGTTTTGCGAGTGGTTAACTAAGCTACCTTCCAAATGGGTGTTTTCATGCTTAGCATGGACAATCAGGTGTTTGTTGTTTAAGACAGGTAGGGCCTTGTTTCTAATACAATACATTGTCCACAATTAGAATTCTGACAACATTGTGGAACTGACTATTTCAACCTACACTAGATATGGCCATGTTGCTGTTTCTAACATGTTGTTTTTATGCCAGGTAGAAATAAATTAGTCATACAAAAATCTGCACCCTAACCCTTAACATAGAGCAGACACAGTGAAGCACTTTGGTCTACATGATTAGATTATGAAGGAGATGAAAATATCTCTTCCCCAAATCCTTCACCCCATGTAAGATACAAAGAAAAGCATGCGTGAGGTACATATCTTTGTTGTAGTTCCTCTAGCTGTGTTCTGTATGTGGCTGAAAGCAACACTGAGCAAATTCCTCAGGATCAAGGAGCAAATTAAAAAAAAAAAACAAAACATTTGAATACCCCCAATCATTCTTTCACTGTTAAGTCACGGAACCTTAGATCACACTACAGCTTAGAAAACAAGGTCTCTGTGCATTTGGTACATAAAACAATTTCCATGATCAGTAGCACTGGTCTTGATTGAGGTCACAAATAGCATTTCCATTTTTCTGTTCTACACAGCTGAGTGGTCATTGAAAATATTGGCTGAAGACTCATCTTATTGTTAAGATTTTTAAAGTAAAGAGATCAACAGAAGCTGGGCTAACCATCAAGCAAAAGATACTACGAAGTGACCTCCATTGAGCAATGTATTCACACTTTGTAACTTTTAAAATAACAGAACCATTTGAGATGAGATGCTTATTTTTGAGCCAAAGAGAGCAGAGAGAATTCCTGTGCTTGCATCGTTAACATTCACAGCAAGGGCAGGCTGAAGGGAGATCCATTATATACACATATATATATACACATAAGTGTGTGTAAGTGGATTATTTTGTGCAACAGGCAGAATCTGAATAATGATCACAGCCACCCTCCGAGAGGCAGGGAGAGGCCAGGGCACCAGCTCTTTAGCTGACACTTTACAAAGCGGTGAAATTTTTCCATCTGATGCACCCGCATACCAAAATATCAAAGATGATTAAATTACTCAAAAAACCAGACTTCTAATTCCATGATTTAAAACTTAATTATCTACTTAAATTAAAATAAATCTGGCTTCTCTAAGGTTGTTCACCAGTGCTTCATAGCAATATTGAGATTGAAGGATGGGAGTCTGTATTTACTTTTTCAGGGATGTTTTTAAAATCTGGAAAAAATATAAATCTCTAAGTTATAAATAACTGGTTTAAGCATGCCAGCCATAGAAGATATTGACTTTACCCACTTGCAAAATTGTTGTCCAAGGATAATTTTAAGGACCAGGTATACAAAACAAGATAATTTGGAGTTCTGTGATGGGGAGAAATTTTAAAATTAATAGGCTGCAACAATGCACTCATGTGAATTTACACTCGAGAATTTTCTGTAGAAAGAAGGACTTGGTCAATTGAGAAGGCAGCTAGCATTAAAATACTAAAATAACCAACACAGATACCTTGATACAGACATAACAAAAATAAAAACAAGGCTCCTGTACAGATATGAACAAGCTAAAAATGATGTTGGCAAAATATCTCATCTATTTAAAAAATACCAAAAGCATGCAACTTAAAGTTCCCTCCCTTTCATAAGACTGAACTGAAAAACAAAAACACAACACAACACAAAAAACTAAAAAACCGATCGAAGCATCTGTTTCTGCCAGTAGAAAATAACAGACTAGGTTCCAAGAGAAATGAAACTTTAAAATATTAATATTGAAAAAATACAATTAAATTTTTATTAAAAATACATACTCCTTACTCGATCTTTGTGTACATATTGTTTCATGTGAAAAAGTAAAACAGAAAATAAAATAGGAAAGGCATTAAGACTACCTAATTATTTATACTGTATTTGGTAGAAGCGTGTTTCAGTCAAACTTTAAACAAAAATAAGTTATTCTGTTTTCATTTGCTCCCGGATATCAGAAGGCAGAGTTTCAAACAGAGCGTCTTCAACAACAAGGCCAGCTCGCTTCAGAGCCCGGCAGTCTCCCAGTTCAGGAGGGAGGATTTCAAAGTGATTGCCTTTAACATCTAAGTAGGAAAGAAAGACTAAATTTCCAATTTTCGGCGAAAGAATCGATAGGTTGTTTTTCCCAATCTTCAGAGTTTTCAGTTTCTTGCAGAAATATAGTTCATCCGGAAGGCTCTCCACTTTGTTACACGTGATGGAGAAATACTGTAAACTTTGTAGAACTCCGACTTCAGGTGGGATAAATCGGATGTCGTTGTAGGATAAGTCCAAGTAGCGGATTTTGTTGCATAGGAAGAGGTGTGAAGGCAGCACCTCTATCTTATTGTGACTGAAGGACAGGCGCTCCAGGCTGGTGAGCTTCTTTATATGCTCTGGGATGTAAGTGATGCTGTTATGCCACAGTTTGAGCACGGTCAGCTTTCTCAAGTGCTGGAAGCTAACAATTTCCTCAATCGACTTCAGGTTGTTTTCCTTGAGGTCCAGCTCCTGGAGGCTGAGCAGGCTGAACACGGCATGCGGGATGCGCTCCAGGTCGCAGTGCACCAGCTCCAGCTCTGTCAGGTTGTTCATCTTCTTCAGGTTGTTGAGCATCACCAGCTTGGTGCCGTCGTTATGGATACACATCTTCTGTAGGTGGCTGGACACATCCACTACCGCCTGGGGAATTTTGGAAACGTTACTTTTGACGGAGAGAATTTTAAGGCTTTTGAGATCCCGCAGAGAGTCCAAGGTGACATTCTTGGAAATATCGTTACTTAGAGAGCCAACCAGGTAGAGCTCTTCCAGATTCCGGAGTCCATACATCCAAGGAGGCAGCTCCCTCATGTCATCAAACTTGACACTCAAGACCTTGAGGTTCTCCTTCAGGAAGGAGAGGGCCGCGCTGTGGATTTTGACGGAGCACTGGTGGAGGGAGAGCTCTTGGAGGTTGTCTAGCTGTGCGATGGTGGCTGGTATCATCACGTTCTTAATGATTTCAAGTTTGAGTGACTGCAACTCTGTGATTTCAAAAACTGTGTCTGGAAGGCCAGAGAGCATGATGAGAGGCAATTCCAATCGGTTGTGGGCATTTGTCTGGAGCTTCTGCCTCAGTTTATCGGGCGTCCACTCATTGTTTAAGTTCAACTGCTTTAACTTGTTTTCGCTCACTTCAGATAGGAACACCGCAAATCTCTTGGAATACAGAGGGTCATACTGATCTATCATATGAAGCATAAAAGCAAAATCATTTTTCACATCAGGAATATCATCAATTCCAGTCTCTTGCCGGACATACTCAAAAGAATACTCCCTTAGAGACCGATAGAACAGCCAGTATAAGGTATAAAGGCACGTCAACCCATAGATACTTACAAAGCACAGGTAGCAAAAGGAGAGTTTTGAGAATAAGTGTGCCATGGTATGATTGCAGGAAAAGTTTTTGTACCCAGTCATGTCTTGGATGTCAACATTACAGTCCACTGTAAACTGGACTTTGGAAACCAGGGCGCTATTATATGCAATGATGATTAGGAATTTTATAACCTTAAGTACAGTCTGACGAACATACATAGCATATAGTATGTCGCCTTCTTCTACGTGTATTCTGAACTTCTTCACCTTCTCAAATAAGGCCTTTGCTTGCTCACCTTCCTTTTTATCCAGCGCCCCTGCCGTGGTTTTATCAACCACAAACTTCTCGGGAATTGACTTTAGAGACTGAGAGTTGACCAGGTTGCCTTCTGGACCAGACTGGACAGTGTTGGACCTGCTTACATTGTTCTTCCTGTTGTCCTTTTCTTCGGAGTCCTCCCCGGACACTTCAGATAAAGCCCGTGTGGTCCAGGGAGAGTCAAAACACTTCCCCAAGATTGAGATGAAATGTTCTATTTTGGAGCTGGAGCCGGGGAATTTGAACCAAAAGTTGCTGCAGAGCATGAAGACCAGAGTATGGATGAGGACCAGGTAGGGGAAGTACTTGGCATACCAGTGGAGGGCTCGCTCATAACACATCTGGTTTATAAAACTGTACTGCTGAAGGTCTAAGTCTGTCTTCAGTCCTTTCATTTCCACAGTGACGGGGTTAGTGGGAGATGGTTTAGTGGGAGGCAGGGGGGTGGCACTGACAACTGCTTGAGAGACATTTGAGACAGAAGAGTGGTTCTGAGAAGGCTGAACTCGTTTGGGAAGGCAGATTATCTTGTCTTGCATGACCTGAAAGACAGAAATAATATTTTCAAATTATATTATTCCAAGAGCTTTCATAATATCATTAGTGTGAAGAAAGCAGCAGTAACATCCAATAAAAGTCCATTTCCTTTGTCTGGAGAATGCAACGTTCAATTCTAGCACCAAGATTTTATCCTTAGGCCACATGTTGGAAAAATGAAATATCTGACTTTGTTCAGCACGTCTAAGTTATGACATGAACCAGCAGTTTGTTTAGCACACAGAGTAATTCACAACAAAGTAAATATTTAAAAAACATTTGTGTACTTAACAAACTTTGGGCCTGGGCAAATCAGTCACTGGTCCAGGAAACAGACTCAATGTAGTACTGGATGGCTCCCACGATTCATGTACCAGAAATAAAGGACTGGAAGAAGGAAATATGGAGGAAATGCTTATTATTTCCTTTTTCTACCCACTTCCCAGACTACATGCACAATGATTATGAATAGCTTCCATAGGAATTTACTAGTCTTTTATAAAACCATTCTTTTCAGAGAGGTGAACTAATACAGAATTATTCAACTGTAAATTGTGTTTAGACTTGATGGCTTTTCACAAAACATTATTTTGAGAACTTCCATTCCTCTAGGAGACTTCAACTGATTGCAAAACAACAACAACAAAACATTAAGTCCCGAGACAGCCCAGCAGTTTCCCAAGATTGCAATTTGGGTATGAGAGCATGCATTCCTTTGGAAGACAAGGCGGTATGAGGCAGACTATACAATGAACCAAGCTGGAGAAAGTACCCACTGAATGCAATCCATGTGGGGAAAACTCTGAATAAGCAAACAGTCCACTGGGGGACAACTGATCACAGACTGCCAACAAGACATGTAGAATTACTGATGCAGAGAAAGTCAATTTGTTCCCTCAGTTGTCAAGTGGGTGGAAATCGATAGTATTTAGTGACTCTGCAAGAGCAAAGTGTTAAGTGATTTTCTATCAGCACAGCTCTTTATACTATTACAGAAGTAGAAACTGAAATCACTGTGCAGAGAACTGCTATAGTATGGGAAGCTGCTGGCAAAGGAGGTCCAGTGTTCCCGACAGAAGTACAAGGTGTGGCAAGGGAGCAGAGCACTGGACACTCCGCAGGGTACCTGGGAACGGGAGACCGCCTGCACAGTCATTTGGTGAAAGGATCCCGAACTCACTGTTGCTCATCCTGCCAGGGCAGCCTGCATAGCTCTGGGTAAAGACGGTGAGTATAGTGATGACGGCAGCAAACCTGACTGTTGTAAAAACGAGCAACTGGCTCAATTCTAAACATGTCAGTTATTAGTCTTTTAAATCATCACCTTAACCGGGTAAGCCAGGTACTCTTTTTTTTTAAGATTTATTTATTTATTCATACAGAACTGTGGTACAGGCCAGAGACGTGGAGGGTGAGAGGATTCACCGGAGACAGAGCGGGGAGCAGAACAGCAGATTGACGAAGTACACTGCTGAGGGGAGCAGCAAGTGGGTCAGGAGAGGTCTGCCACGCCATGTGGATCTCCTCCAGGGCAGGCGGGGATCGAACTCATGAGGAAGTGGCTTAAGCTTCTTAGGGTAGTGCTTTAACCCACTGTGCCACCAGGGAGGGCCCCAGCCAGGTACTCTTAATCTTAATATCCCAATGGCACATTCACTTTTACTTGCCATTGTCACCAAGCCCAGGCCACCTGGAGCCAGAGCCCACATTTTACCTGATGGATTTGTAATGATTAATTGAAAGGATTCCAATTTGACTTATCCTAAGCAACAAATTGCCTTACACAAATGACTCATGAAAAATTTTACTTATTCCCATGCCCTATGCAGATGGCAAAAGAATGAGGCTGGGGGAGAGGGGGATTTAACGACGATATCTGTAAAAGGTAAGTCCTGAATGATAAAGCAGGGGTCACTCATGCATTGTATAAAACAAAAGAGGGTGGAAAGAATGGCAAATATGATCACATTCAGAAGGTCTGTGGGCTACAGAGGTGTGAGACTGCACAGTGGTCCTCGAGCATTCGCCCACTCTCCTGTCTCAGAGGTGTAAGCCAGAGCACACCTACTCAGCATGTACATATCTATTTATATAGTTTATCCACAGAGTACTGTCAACCACTATGACAGGTGTTAGAACAGTTTAATTCCTTTGCCTTTAAATTTCAAGTAAATATCAACGTTTTCAGCGTTATCTCGCATCTCAGTGGAGTCTCCTTCCCATTTCTTCTGGGTCAGACCTACCTTGGAGACCCCTGGAGCGATAAATAGTAGCAGAAAGCCTCAACAAATACGAGGCTTTCTTAGAGAAATGGAAAAGGGAAACCAATATGAATTTAGCATTTGGGGTCATGATGGGGGTGTTTTCCCACTCCTGGTCTCTTCAATGTTCCCACAATCTGTGGAGGAGGAAGAAGGTAGGGACTAGAGACAGCAGGGTGGAGGCTTCCCTGAGCACATTCTCGAGAGTGACACCTTCGAGCTAATATGTTAATACGACATTTTAAGCGGTGTGGTGCAAACAGAGAACTGTGTGAGAGCAAGATCAGTTAGAAGATAAAAAAACATTACTTAAGGTGCTAAATCCTGCCAAGCAACCAGGCAGGTCCTGCTACTATCCCCTTGCCCAGAACTTTCTCGGACTTGCTCCTCATGATGGAAGATGCTAGACTGTTGACGCCAGTCAGTAACTGGAGCCTGGCTGCTGACTAGGGTTTCAGGCCGTGCCAGGGTGCTCAGCACGGGGGCAGACATGGGCTCAAATCCTGCATGTGCTCGTGTGCTCAGTTCTGTGACCCTTGGGCTGTGCGCACACAGCGAGGTTAACTTTTCCCATTCTGTACCAAGGCATGTGGCTGACCCTGTCTGACTGATTCGGAGGGGGACCATAGTCCCCTGAGTCTGTAGGAGAAACCGCCTAAGGTTCAGAGAACTTGCTCAAGTTCACAGGTCTAGGAAGTGGCAATGCAGACTGCTCCACCACACCAGTTTTCACATTTCTCACAGCTACTGCCGGGAAGGTTTTGTAGAGAACCTCCCCCTGAAGGGATGTACCACACAGATGACCTTCAGCAGTTTCTGTCAGCCTCTGGGTGCCGTATTTCATTCAATATTCAATCTACTTGAAAACAAACAAACAAACAAACAAACAAACAAAAAAAAACGTGCCTGTCTAAACCCCAGAATGGGCAAGATTGTGAACTATATTCCAAAAGAGGAAAATTACGAAGAAATCAGCAGAGTGCAAAGAAAACACTGAATTTTGGTCACGGAGAAACAGAGCTGCTTATGCACTTGAGGCAACATATCGCAAGACTTGGCAGAGGACAGAGAAGTTTGCAGAGAAGTCACTAAGGATGTGGTGTAGGGTTGGTGAGTCCAGGACAACAATGAGGAACAGGGAGGGTTTGGGAGTCTAAACAGTAAACAGTAGAAAGGTTTAAACAGTAAAATGGCTCCAGGAAGAGCCAGACACCAAAGCTCAAAGCATCACCACGGCTCACGCACGTGTCCCCACATGGGGAATTCCACCATTTCTTCTAGGTGCAACCTCAGGCTGCCTTTGCAGAAAAGGGCTTGAGACTGGTGCTGTAGAGGGGACGGAGAAAATGAGAGAGACAGGGGTAGAAAAAAGGTTGAAAAGCAAGATGAACAAGAGGATTTGATCAGAATATAGCCAGGTGCAAAAGTTATTGTCTAAGATTCTGGTACGAGACTAATTCTTCATGAAATAATCTTTGTTAAGGAAAGTAGCTACTAGCTTGGGAGTGAAAACAAGTCACTGAGAACAAAGGACAAGTGAAGCCAGGCAGCAAACTGTAGCTGAAGTCCTGCCCAAATTGGTATGAAGAGGTGTGGAGGCCGGAGATGGGGAGCCAGAAGAGCAGCTACAATCAAAGATAACAGCTCAGACAATATGGTAGGAAGTATAGAGCATAAAATATTTATTTTCATTTTCAGAGGGACGTACCTTCCAGTCTTCCCAAACCTTCAGTAACATCTGATACACAGACACAGATACATACACACCCTCTCTCTCTTATACACCTATTATGAATGAATTTTGGAGATAATCATAGCAAAAAGGCACCTCATTTCATGCTTGGACCAAAGTCATACAGACAAGGTGTTTGCATGGGATGGTTTCTGTGGAAGAATAAGTTCTGACCAAAAGGCTCCAATCCTTCCACAAATCTGGCAGAAATTAGAAAGGGCTATGGGCTGGAGTTTGACCCAATATCCCTTAAATCTTAAGGTGCAGCTGACATCTAGGCATATAAAATGTTCTTCAAGGCATCATAATCAAAGTTCTGGGAGAAATAGTTCCATGACTATGATTATATCTAGGCAATATTTCTGGAAAGGAAGCCTAAGGTTTGCAGGGATTGGAAAAATGGACACAATAGAATTTGGATTCATGCGTTCTCTTTGCAAATCATTTTAAGACAGCAGCTGTCTTTGGGTGGGGTGGGAAGGGATGGTGGGGAGCAACTCAGTTTCCTTAATTCTGAGGTCAATGAAAGAAATGACTTTCTTTTTTTTTGCTTTCTGTAAGGGCGGAGGAGATGTGCTTTCAAGAGAAACAAAGCAAACCCTTAAGTTTCTCTGAAAAGGGGGAAAAAAAATCACCAAACAATGCCTAATATGCTTACATCTAGGAAAAGAAGTCAAATATTTAAATTTGTGTCAAGTTCAGGTCAGTAAAGAGCCACAGTTTTGAATGGAATGTATAGATACTGTATCACTTATTGAAACCCTCTGCATGGCCAATGCACCATCATGAACTTTTAATATTAGTAACTTTGCCTGTTTTACATTTTTAATGTCTGCGGCAGCACCTTTGATTGTATATCTCTTTGGTGATGGTTATTAGATTTTCAGTCTTTGATAGACTTCTGATGTTTTACATCACAAAAGCATCAAAATGATGAAAACAGGAAAAGCAGAACCCAGCCAGGGTAACAAGCTGAGAAAATATCACAGTTGTATGAGTGAAAGACCAACTA